CTATTACTCATGCTCTTCCAAATTTTAATAAATGAACATTTTGTTCATGTATATATTTGACACAATTCTAATCCTTAAGATTTGTCCTCTTGTGCAAATTAGTTTAATCTTTTTCTTTAGTATATATACATACACACATACATACACACATATATATGTATACATTATGTTATTCTTAAAATTAGTGCCCTTTTCTAGACTCATGCTCGGAATTGTCACCATGTAATTTATTTCAAACAATACCCATGAACTTATTTGGCATGATCACCTATTAATATCTTAACTTACGTCTTAAATTGATACACACATACATACATACATATATATATATATATATGTATGTGTATAATTTACATATGGATGTACATATATATTGACTAAGCAATTCAAAATCTCACGGCATATATAGGAAATTTTTGTTGATAATAACCAATTTTCTTTGAGAAAAATAATTATACTAACAATGGAGGAGTGCTCTAATAGTGATGTTCACGAATTAATTCATATGGTTTTAAATAAAATTAAAATATATTTAATAATTTGACAATGTTGACATTTTGTCACATTATTTAATTAAGGTAATGATTTTTTCTTATGATGAATTTACATTTTTTTAATTTTATATTATTTTAGAAAGAAACATTCTCTATACGATAAAAGTATGTTTGGGAATTTAGGAAATAAGTCAAAAAAAAAAAAAACTATATGATTAAATTAAAATAAATATTATTAATAAAGTAATTATGCAATTAATATTATTTTGGACTAATTATAATAAATTATTGGGTGTGGTAAAATGAGGGTAGAATTGTAATTTTACACATCCTCTTACTTTACAAATAGTCAACAAAAGACGCTTTGGGTTCGCACCTTCCCTCATCCGGAGTCGGTCGTTTTACTCTGTTCAGTCCAGCGTTTTGGAATCCCTTGCACTTTGCTTTGGCTGTGTGGGTCCCGCCTCTTTATGACCTTGACGCGTCATTATTTCCTTTTCTTTTGTAAGATAAAGAATATATATATATATATCTCTAAAGTCTCTCCATTTGTGGGCGTCGGTGTGATTTAACATATATGCGTTGGTATAATATGTTGTATGCACTTAAAGATATTCATTGAGACCATTTGGGTTGAAAATTAAAATTAACATATTAAATTCACATAACATTTTGTTAAGAAATCTAGGAAATTCATTCAACAAAATAAGAAAATTCGTTTAATATAAACTTCCGATAAAATATATATCAGAATTTAACAGATAAAAGTACATTACACCGTTTATTTTAGGGGATTGACGGGTTATCCATTCAGTAATTTTAGTACTAGACATTCTAAAAAAAAAAATTTGATACTACCGATTCGTGTGAATTTAATAATAGACGTCTAATGATATTTCAATATTTCTTATCATTCCAGCATGTATTCGAAAAAGAATTCAGTATTTTTTTATCATGAATATCTAAATATGATAAAATTGGTACTACCAATTCGTGTGAATTCAATAATAAACGTCTGGTGACATTTCAACATTTCTTATCCTCTCAGCATCTATTCGAAAGAGAATACAGTGCTTTTTGATCGTGAATATTTGAATAGGACGAACCGTCCTGTAAATATTTTTGCTTCATAACAGAATAATTAGAATTAGGATTGATCAACTAAAATGTGTATTATTCATATGGGAAATCGGTAAAAATTTGAACAATCAAATTATAATCTTAAAAAAAATACTAAATTACTTTAGTATTAGTGAATTTATATGTTATTAACAAAATATTTATTAATTTATATATTTTTAGTCATATAAAAAATTTAGAAAAATTAGTAGAGCACGGTATCTCTC